CGAAGGGGTTCTATTTATAGGCATAAGTGGAGCTAGGAGAGTCCAAATGAGGTGCGGTTTTCGGCCACGCGATCGTGATCGAACGCTCTAGATGATGGAACAGAGTTTGGTGGGTTTTGGGCCAAATTTGAGGGGTGTTGGGCTGCAACACACATGAGGCATTTTTGGTCCCTCGGTTAACCGTTGGAGTATCAAACGAAGTCCAAATGATACGAAACTTGACAGGCGGTCTACCGGTAGTAAACCAAGGCCGCATGACAACTCTCGGTCTAATCCGGAAATGTTTAATCCCCACACGCGAAAGAAAGCTAGAAATGACCACCGGAGGAGAACGAAGCGCCGGAATGCAAAACGGACAACGGCAAAAATGCTCGAATGCATGAGATGAACACGTATGTGAATGCAATGCACATGATGACATGATATGAGATGCATGAAAACGAAAACAACACACGGAGACAAAGACCCGAACCCGAGAAATAAATATAACTTAACGCCGGAAACGGCAAGAGTTGGAGTACAAATTGGGAAAGTTATATCTGGAGCGTTACAACACTCCACCACTACGAGAAGATCTCGTCCGAGATCTAGGACTGAAAGAACGCCGGGTACTCAGAACGGAGGTGATCCTCGCATTCCCAGGTAGCTTCACGGTCGGAATGGTGAGACCACTTGACTTTGAGAAATTTGATTGACTTGTTGCGGGTCTTGCGTTCAGTCTCTTCAAGAATAGCAAATGGGTGCTCACGATAGGAGAGATCTTCTTGGAGCTCAATGTCCTCTAAGTTGACTGTGCGGTCAGGCGTCTTGAAGCACTTCCGAAGCTGAGAGACGTGGAACACATCATGAACATTTGCAAAGTTTGAAGGAAGCTCGAGTTGATAGGCGAGGTCGCCTCTCTTGTTGACAATCTTGAAAGGTCCCACGTATCTAGGGGCAAGCTTCCCTTTGATACCGAAGCGACGAGTACCTTTCATAGGAGAGACGCGGAGGTAAACATGATCTCCGATCTCGAAAGCCAAATCACGGTGCTTACTATCATAGTAGCTCTTCTGGCGGGATTGGGCTGCTTTGAGGTTATCACGAATGACTTTGCACATTTCCTCTGCCTCTATGATTAAGTCATTACCCAGTAGCTGACGTTCACCGGTTTCAGACCAGTTGAGAGGGGTACGGCACTTCCTGCCATACAGAATTTCAAATGGGGCCTTGCCCGAACTTGCTTGAAAACTGTTGACTCAAGCTAGGGTGCACCAAACTTGCAAGTAAAGATATGGATGGATAGAGCATAACATGATTAACAAAAGTCCCTTACTGATCATCCTCAAAAGAGGCACGGATCATTAGGAAACAAGCTAAACATATGGCATCATGAACTAAAGAATCCCAGACTTAGTGAAAACAACTGTCCCTGAAAACACATTTCCCGGGTGCCTCTCTTTGCAAGCTTGCACAAGTCACCACACACATCCTAAAAATGCATGGGTTGCACCTCTGGAAAGAAGACAAAATGCTTAATAAAACATATGAAGGACTCACAGGCATATCATGCACACAAAAATCTTGGCAAAAATGACAAAAGCCTAAGATGAACTAGCAGATCTGACAATTATCTCACGAAGCCTCCTTCTAGAAGCATTTCGGGTATCAAGATGAACTCAAATAAAAATGATGCAATGGAATGAAATGATGTACTCTTCGAGGCGAACATTTTGATATAATATATGTCCAAAACGGAGCTACGGATGCGGAGATATGACAGGTCAAAGATTGCTCGAAAATTAGGGTTGGAGGGGAAAAAGTCAACCGTTCAAAATATCTCAGATCTCAGATCTGAGATCCGGGCAGCGTGGAAACCGAGGTTGGCCGGGCTACTGTAGCTCGAGGTCGCCGAAAATGTCGGGGAAGGAGGCCGGACGTGGGGAGGAGGAGGAGGACGACGGGGCCGGCCGGATCCGACGATGGGCGGCGGTGGCGAGGTCGGTGGCGCGGGCTCGGCGCCGGGCGGGGCGGCGGCGATGGTGGCGGCGAGCAGCGGTCGCCAGCCGGCGTCGAGGTCGGTGCAGCTCCGGCGGCGCGCGTGCAGCTCCGGCCACCGAGCGCGAGGGAGGCGAAGAAGTCGGGCGGCGTCGCGGAGGCGTTGGGCTCGGGGGGCCGTTCGCGGGCTCTCCCGGGCCGGCGGCGGCGGCGGGCAGGCGTGCCACGTGTCGCGATGCGGCTGGCTGGGCGCGATGGCGGACGCGTCCGTCCGGGGGCGGACGTGTCCGTCGGTGGCGGGATGCGTTTTTTTTTAGACTAGGGTTTCGGGGGAAGAGAGATCCGAAAACGAAGGGGTTCTATTTATAGGCATAAGTGGAGTTAGGAGAGTCCAAATGAGGTGCGGTTTTCGGCCACGCGATCGTGATCGAACGCTCTAGATGATGGAACAGAGTTTGGTGGGTTTTGGGCCAAATTTGAGGGGTGTTGGGCTGCAACACACACGAGGCCTTTTCGGTCCCTCGGTTAACCGTTGGAGTATCAAACGAAGTCCAAATGATACGAAACTTGACAGGCGGTCTACGGGTAGTAAACCAAGGCCGCATGACAAGTCTCGGTCCAATCCGGAAATGTTTAATCTCCACACACGAAAAAAAGCTAGAAATGACCACCGGAGGAGAACGAAGCGCCGGAATGCAAAATGGACAATGGGAAAAATGCTCGAATGCATGAGATGAACACGTATGCGAATGCAATGCATATGATGACATGATATGAGATGCATGAAAACGAAAACAACACACGGAGACAAAGACCCGAACCCGAGAAATAAATATAACTTAACGCCGGAAACGGCAAGAGTTGGAGTACAAATTGGGAAGGTTATATCTGGGGCGTTACAAATAGACCCGGGGGCCATAGGTTTCACTAGTGGCTTCTCTCAAGAGCATAAGTATTCTACGGTGGGTGAACAAATTACTGTTGAGCAATTGACAGAATTGAGCATAGTTATGAGAATATCTAGGCATGATCATGTATATAGGCATCACGTCCGTGACAAGTAGATCGAAACGATTCTGCATCTACTACTATTACTCCACTTATCGACCGCTATCCAGCATGCATCTAGAGTATTAAGTTAAAAACAGGGTAACGCCTTAAGCAAGATGACAGGATGTAGAGAGATAAATTCATGCAATATGAAATAAACCCCATCTTGTTATCCTCGATGGCAATGATACAATACGTGCCTTGCTGCCCCTTTTGTCACTGGGTAAGGACACCGCAAGATCGAACCCAAAGCTAAGCACTTCTCCCATGGCAAGAACTACCAATCTAGTTGGCCAAACCAAATGGATAATTCGAAGAGACTTGCAAAAATAACCAATCATACATAAAAGAATTCAGAGAAGATTCAAATATTATTCATAGATAGACTTGATCATAAACCCACAATTCATCGGTCTCAACAAACACATCGCAAAAAGAAGATTACATCGAATAGATCTCCACAAGAGAGGGGGAGAACTTTGTATTGAGATTCAAAGAGAGAGAAGAAGTCATGTAGCTACTAACTATGGACCCGAAGGTCTGAGGTAAACTACTCACACTTCATCGGAGGGGCTAGGATGATGTAGAAGCCCTCCGTGATGACGGCCCTCTTCCGGCGGAGCTCCGGAATAGGCCCCAAGATGGGATCTCATGGATACAGAAAGTTGCGGCGGTGGAATTAGGTTTTTGGCTCCTGTTCTGATCGTTTGGGGGTACGTGTGTATATATAGGAGGAAGAAGTACATCGGAGGAGCAACGAGGGGCCCACGAGGCAGGGGGCGCGCCCTAGGGGGGCGCGCCCACCACCCTCGTGCCCGCCTCTTTTTTTCCTTGGAGCAGGGTCCAAGTCTCCTGGATCACGTTCCCGAATATTTTATTCTGTTTGGACTCCGTTTGATATTCCGTTTATCTGAAACATAAAAATAGGCAAAAAAAACATCAATTCTGGGCTGGGCCTCCGGTTAATAGATTAGTCCCAAAAATAATATAAAAGTGGAAAATAAAGCCCAATATAATCCAAATAGTAGATAATATAGCATGGAGCAATCAAAAATTATAGATACGTTGAAGACGTATCCACATCTTATAAAGATGGAATAATTTTCATTTAGTGGCCATGTTTCCGTTGTTAACTAGACACATGTGATTACTTACTCAATCTCAAGACTTGTCGATTCAGTTTATCAGGATACTCATAGGAGCCGAGGAGTATAAAAAAATACTCTTGTTGTAAAGAAATATAAAAATGTTTAGATCATTATTTTATTTTAATGATCTAAAGGCTTTTATATTTGTTTACGGAGGGAGTACATATATTTTGTGAAACCTATACAAAGAAGTGACTTTTTTTTTTCTCTGGCGGGCCTTTTCGTTACCGCCAACAAGAGCTAAAGTGTAGCTAATGATTTCGCTCCCGTCCTCCTTATCCTCTCTCTCTAAAACATACCTTTAATGCGTCGTGATCTCTCTCCTCCAATCCCGACAAAGTACACCATCATCTCCTGCCTTGATGTTCTCCCTCGCTCTCTCTCCCCCCTTCTCTCTCTCTCCACCTTCGCTCCCCTTCCCTATCATATGCTCCTCCCCCTCCTCCAGCCATCGTCTTCCCTGCAGCGCACAGACGAGGCACACCCACCAAAACACCATAAAATAGTGCTTGTTGATTGATCTCCACGGGCGCCCATCTCTCTCTCATCATCATACTACCATATGAAAAATATTTCTCGCCAACCTAGCTAGAGTGTTTCCCTAACAGCTAGCTCCCCCCTCTCTCTCTCTCTCCTGTTCGATCTCTTTCTCACTCTTAGCGCCGCCGCCGCCGCCACCACCGCCGTCCCCACATCACCTAACCAGCTGAGCAAAACCCCACAAGAACAGCTCGGTACGTCACCGAACCCACCGCTCAACTTCCCCCAACCAAAAGACAGCACCGTGTGTTCTCGTGTGTATATGTCTATGGCCTAATCGAGACCATGGACGTTACCGGGGACGCCGGTGGAGGTCGCCGCCCCAACTTCCCCCTGCAGCTCCTCGAGAAGAAGGAGGAGCATCCGTGCTCCATCTCCCCGGATGCTGGGCTCGGGACGAATGGGTCGGCGACGGGGGAGCTGCAGGTGCGGAAGGCGGCACCGCCTAAGCGGACCACGAGCAAGGACCGGCATACGAAGGTGGACGGGCGCGGCCGCCGCATCCGGATGCCGGCGATCTGCGCGGCGCGGGTGTTCCAGCTGACGCGGGAACTGGGGCACAAGACGGACGGCGAGACCATCGAGTGGCTCCTGCAGCAGGCGGAGCCCGCTGTGATCGCGGCCACCGGCACAGGCACCATCCCGGCCAACTTCACATCTCTCAACATCTCCCTCCGCTCCTCCGGCTCCATGCTCTCCACCATACCCGCCCACCTCCGCGCCGCCGGCCTGCCGGGGTCTCGCTTTGGAGGTGGCCCACGGGCGGACGCGTGGGACCGCTTCGTCGGTCTCGGGTTCGGCGGTGGCCTCGAGAGCCCGGCCTCCACCACCACCTCGTCGTCGTCCCCGCTGCTGCTGAGCTTCCACTCCGGAAGCGTCGGCCTCGACGTTTCGCCGTCGTCGGCGACGGCTGCGGCCAACACGGAACTGTCCAGGAAGCGGCGTTGGGAGCAAGAAATGCAGCAGCAGCAGCAACAACATCATCACCACCAACAGCAACAGCAGCAACAGTACCAGCAACAGATGGCCGGGTACACGCAGAGCCAAATGCCGGGCACTGTGTGGATGGTGCCGACGAGCAACGCCCAGGCCGCCGGAGCGGCGCCTGCCGGTGGCGGCGAGTCGATCTGGACGTTCCCGCAACCCGGGAGCGGCGGCGGCGGCGGCTCGGCGACCGTGTACCGCGGCGTGCCGAGCGGGCTACATTTCATGAACATCCCCGCGCCGATGGCAGTGCACGCGCAGCAGCTGGGACTCGGCCAGGCCGGCGGCGGCGGATCAGCAGCAGCGGGCGAGGGGCACATGGGGATCCTCGCCGCGCTCAACGCGTACCGTGGGCAGCATGCAGCGGCGTCGGAGGTCACCGTGGCGGGGCACAATGGAGCAGCTGAAGGGACTACTCACCATCAACATCAGAATCAGCATCAGCATCTGCAGCACGGGGGTGGCGAGCCGAACGAGAGCATGAGCGGCAGCGACTCGTAGGACTTCGTGACCGCTGGTCCGTTCGACAGCTTTGGCTTACCAATTTTCGTCTTTGGATTTGTTCTTCTTTGGTTTGTTTCTGTTCTTGACTCGATCGCTTGTTATGGCTTTGTTCCTTCTCCAAATTCTTGCACGGTTCATACGATTGCAACTTGCATTTCATTGCATCAGGGCAAATTATTTGCTATAAAGTCTCTGCAAGCAGCGAGATAGGTGGATCGCCAAACGATCTAAAGAACTTTCTTTTTCTCTCTTTTTAATTTGTATCCTCCGGATCTTGCCAATTAGGGTTTAATACAAATTCTTGGAGAGAAGAGAAATTATGCAAAACATGGCCGCCATTAATTCTGCATGCTTGCTACTCCCTCCGTCTTATAATATAATAACGTTTTTTAAACTAAGAGGGAGCAATAAGCACGGAGCAGCAATTTTTTTGGCACGCCAGTTGATTCCTCCCCACACACTGAACCTAGCTAGGCCCGAGAAAGGGGTCGCGACGTCCAGACTAGGGCTCGATAATAGTGGATTCAGCAGGAACTTAAACAACTCGTCATTCATTTGTCGATCAATTTGAAACCTTAGTGTCAAAAGGTCCTTTCATGAATCTATGGAAGGAAAACCACCTCTGACTTCACCAAGTCTCCCTTTCTTTGGTCGAAGGCTTTAGGTCAAGATCCTTTTTCCTATCTATTGAAGATGCAAAGAGAGATGCTTCTTCCTCTTCAAGTTGGAAGCGCAAGAAGAAATGTTGTAAATAGGAGTTCCATCTATCACACACTCACCCCACACTCCAACTAACTTCAACATCCATACTCAGCTAGGAGGAAGGTGCCAACGAGACGGAACCAATGACGACGTGATAGGCCATAGAGGCAAGGCGAAGCCTTGATTGGTTCGGGTGCAGGGTGGTAGCTGATGTGGAGTACGATGGGGTTTAGAGGGAAGGTCGGAAGGCGGCGGAGGCTTGACTTATTCGGGTGCCGCGGTGTGGGGGTGCAGGATGGTCGCCGACGTCGAGTACAGTAGGATTTAGAGGGAAGGTCGTGGCGGCGGCGGCGAATCTGTCGGGTTGGTGGGTGCGGTGGCGCAGATTGATGCCGTCCACAGGTGTCGACGGCAAGTGGTCAGGCCAGAATCGGAGGGTGGCACTTCTTGAAGGAAGAAGAAGGCATCTGTACCGTTGGATGGAGATCAGAGGAAGGAGGGGAAAGTGATTGATTGAACTGTTTTTTTTTCTTCTGGCAACTAATAGATAGTCGGCCCCTTCATTGTCCGAACTCCACTGGAGAAGCTACAGTGGCATTAACAAATATGCATGGCTGCCATGCCAATGCCATTGCCCAGCACTTTGTACTCTTCTCTCGTCCAACCGTAAAGCATATTACGTATGTACTATCTTCGTCCTGGTTTTTTAGTCTTCTTTATATTTTATGTCAAATTTTGATTATTAGAGATACAACTAAAAAATATTAATACATGTCACAAAAAATTATATCACCGGATTTGTATTTTTTTTATAACATGCATTAATATTTTTCTAAAGGTCCTTACAGTTCACACGTTAAACGTAGGCTGTCCTCTCCGTGAGGGCTCCGCGCTAGCTTTGTCTAGGAAAACCACTACACCATCACCGTCGACGTTTCGATGTCAAGGGCTGGCTAGAATGTAGCTAGGGTGGTGTAATCTCTTTGTTCGGTTCGAACTGTGCCGGCATCTATATACCTAGTAAAAAGGCCCCTTTGGTTTGAATGCATATGAGCGCGGCCGGTACCGCCCCACTGTAGCACCACCAGCGAAGCGTGCCAAAAAACGGAAGGAGGCGCGGTGCAACAGTGGCGCCCAACAGTAGCGCGCACCGAGCGAGCCGGGGCAACGCAGTACTACGTACGCCCATGAAATAATTGCCAAAGCTACAGCGCCAGCGGATTAACCCGGCCATCGCCACCGACGATTCCCGCACGCACGTACTCATCGTCCTTGCATTACGGCGCGCGCGGGGAGCAGGAGCTCGCCCGGTCGACGGTCTCGCGGCCCGGAGAAGGAGCCGTGTACGTGCGAGTGATGGACGCGCGCGCGCGGGGATGCAGGCGGTCCGTGCGCGCGCACGGGACGGGAGCGGGATCGGGCGACAGGCCCACGCGCGGGCTGCTGCGGCTGCCCTGCGACTTACCCCATATGTAAAGCTGCTCGTGGGGGTGGTCCTCGCTGCGCGCCAGGGTTGCCCTTATTGTCGCCCCGCCACGGGCCCGGGTTGAATTGCCGCTGCCTACGGGTGTGTACGTACGTACGCGAGTAGACGACCCACCCCTGCTCGATCGGCTGCTCCGGCTACGCGCCACATGCACGGTACGTCCACGCGCCACAGCCCACATGCACGGTACACGGACGGACCAGCGCCCTCGTGAGATCTAGCAGCGCAGATATACCGTCGACAGCCCGGCACGTACGTGCGCAGTGCAAGTTGCGCGCGCGCGCGCTTTGACCGCGTGCGTGCGTGCGGTGGACTAGGACAAGACGAAAAGCGCGCGTGGGGACTGTATTGTTTTGAGTTTCGACGTCAGTACATCACGCTCGCACCAAGTAGCTACAGTCTCCGTTGAAAAGTAAGCAAGCGAATTAACTTACTGACAAAACTGACTGGTAGATCGATGCATGCAGCTAGACAGCTAGTAGCTGGCTAACTATTCATCCATAATTCATGTGTGGCCATTGATGGGGGATTTGGCGATGGATCGAGCGGGATATGATGATGGGTTTAACTGCAAACATATGTTCAGTCCCAGTCCTTGGATGGGCGGGATGATGCATGGGCATGGCCGCATAATTAGCCACAACGCGGCCGGGCTGCGCATGCAGTGTGCAGGTGGGAAAAGAGAGAGCTAGCTAGCGCTGCAGGATGAGGCCAATAACGTGCTGGAGCTGTCGGTTGTTCCCTGACCCAAATTGGAGCCCCTCACATGTTGGGCTGATTGGCCGCATTGAGTGCCCTACCCTCCCTTCCTATACCTAAGCTAATGGCCCTGCCTTGTGCACCTGTTGCTTCAGTGCCCGGCCATAACCACATGACGTGTACAATATCCTCTTCGCTCACCCTTCCACAACCAGTGCTCAACCGATCCTCTCAAACTTACATTGCTAAGTTGTTCGACACCTCCTTAAACCCAACCCATATCTAAGGCGAATATGGGGAGGTCTGGGCACGGCCTGATGCGTCCGTCCACTAGTAGAAAAAGATCCTAATGTGAAGCACATTAGTCTCGGTTTTTAACTGAACCAGCACTAATGTGACCATCAGTGCCGGTTCCAACAGTTAGGCGGGCGGTGCTCATTAGTACCGATTCGTGGCGAACTTTTAGTACCGGTTCATGCCACGAACCGGTCTAAAGAGGTGGTGGCAGGCTGTTATCAGGCCGGGGCTCCACCAGAACCTTTAGTACCGGTTCATGTCACAAATCAGTACTAGAATTTTTTAGTTGATTCATTTTGTAGCGGTTTTTTAGTCCCACCTCACCAAGCGAGAGGGACTCGCAACGGTTTATAAGCCCTGAGTGCAAAGACGAGGAACGACGATAAAGGAGAGGCGCAATGCTCACCTGCACGTTGCTTAACTTCAGGCCTTGAGGAAATGGTAGACTGCACGGAGCTGTGTGTCCTTTCTCAAAGGCTGAAGCTAAACAGTGTGCAGGTGAGCATTGCGCCTCTCCTTTATTTGTTTAACTTATTACGACTCCATAGCATGTGCTAAAATGTTGAGAGGGTTACTGCAAAAATTGGATGCACTTCGTGTACAAACTGGACAATCTCTTTCGAAATATCAGGGTATCAAACGAAAACTCATCTGTTACAAAGGCATTTTATTTTTTAAAACTTATTACAACTCCAGACTTTTTGTGCGCTCAGTATGCACCATTCAAAGTTGGACTTCTCACGGCGACCCCCACTAGTGCATGTGTCACTATTTTTCTCTGCTCTATCTCACCTACACTGGTCTATAATTTACTGCGTTTATTATGCATCATTCAAAGCCACGTCATCAACTTTCAACCATTTCTGCCTTCATTTGCTATTTTTCATGCATTTAATGATTTGTTTTGATCTAAATGACCCTGAAATTGAAAAGCACTACCAATGAACTCTGGAAAAGTTGAAACTTGGCATGGTATCATCATTTCACCCACATAGCATGTGCTAAAAAGCTGAGAGGGTTACGGCAAAAACTGGATGCGATTCGTGTACAAACTGGACAATCTCTTTTGAAGTATCAGGGTTTCGGACGAAAACTCATCTGTTACAAAGGCATTTCAATTTTTTTAAACTTATTACAACTTCAGACTTTTTGTGCGTTCATTATGCACCACTTAAAGCTGGACTTCTCACGGCGACCCCCACTAGTGCATGTGTCACTCTTTTTCTCTGCTCCATGTCACCTACACTGGTCTATAATTTTGTGCGTTCATTATGCACCATTCAAAGCTGGACTTCTCACGGCGACCCCCACTAGTGCACGTGTCACTCTTTTTCTCTGCTCCATCTTACCTACACTAGTCTATAATTTTGTGCGTTCTTTATGCACCATTCAAAGCCACGTCATCAACTTTCAACCCTTTCTGCCTTCATTTGCTATTTTTCATGCATTTAATGATTTATTTTGAGCTAAATGACCCTAAAATTAAAAGGCACTACAAATGAACTCTGAAAATGTTGAAACTTGGCATGGTATCATCATTTCACCCATATAGCATGTGCTAAAAAGTTGAGATGGTTACAGCAAAAACTGGATGCACTTCGTGTACAAACTGAACAATCTCTTTCGAAGTATCAGGGTTTCGAACGAAAACACATCCGTTACAAAGGCATTTCATTTTTTAAACTTATTACAACTCCAGAATTTTTGTGCGTTCATTGTGCTGAAATTGTAAGTAGCAGAGTAGTTTGATAGCAAGGTAATTTGTAACGAGCAAGTAACGATGGTAGTAACAAAAGTGCAGCAAGGTAGCCCA